GCAATATAGATTCAAAACTGCCAACCAAATATTTTCACTGTAAAAATAAGTAAAATTAAATTTGTAGTTTAATATCTGGTAGATATTCGGATCCGATTTCTTCCTAATTATTAAAAATAAAATATTGGTCATATAATATAAAGATATTAAATATAATTATACTTACCTAGTGTTATACTTATCTAGAAACAACCTTATATAGATTTTGAATGATATTTACAAAAAAAATTAATATGTAAATTAGTTTTAACATCTAATACTAATTAATTAAATGTTAATTATTAAACCATAGTGTTTTTGCCTTCTTTTACTCTAATATAATTATACACGAAAGCCATTCTCTTCATAATAATTGTCAGTTTAAATTAGACATATTGCAACCTTTGCTTTTCTAACAATATTAATAACATTATCAACTTCAAATGCAAAGCATCAGATTTAGGTGTAAAACAAAGCTTATACTTAGTGAATATAAAGGCATATATTCCTGTATATTTGGAATAGAGAAGGTATTAAACTTAGAAAAAGACAACTTTATCCCTTACAACATGCGTGCAAATTTGACTGCAACTTATCATGAGATATATGTGATAATATTAAAATACAGCCAAATCACAGAATATTCCAAGTTTCACTATAGTAGTATGATAAGTAAAACAGTTTAAAAAATAACATTGTTAGTTAAATTTTACTTAATTAGCTTTCTATAACGAGTATCTGAATTGGACCCACTGGGTATAGATTGAATGGTTGCTATTGCTCATTCTGTTTCCAATAACAAGATTTTAAATCCTACAATGGCTTTAATATATGTTACTGAAATAAATTTAAATAAAAACCTGAAAATATGCTAAGATATAATGATGACACTGATATTAAATTAAGAAATAATTACTCGTTACTGACAGTGACAGTCTCTAGATTTTATTTAGAGTTATATTTTTAGAATTAGAAAGTGTCATAATATAATTTAAAGTTATATTTAGGGTTAGAAAGTATTATAATATATAGTAAAATTATGCAAGAAATATTTTTTTTGTCAAGACATGGAGATTGGTTTTATATGCATAAATTTGAGTTATTTTGGTTTAAAATTTTTGAGGTTTTGAACCATAAAATCTAATTGGCCTGGATCTGTCAATGCTGACAAAAAATATATTTGCTCTTAAATATAATTTAAAACCTGATAATATAATGATAATGCTAATATTAAACTAAATTTATATTTTTAAATTAAATAATATAAATAGCGATGCATATATGCAATTATGAATATTTAATAAAAAGTATATTAAAGTAAAATAATATCGATGATACATACCTAACTGTAAACATGATAAACACGAATGTTTAATAAAAAGTATATTAAAGTTAAACAATATCGATGACAATACCTATTTGTAATACGAATGTTTATTATAAATAATAAAAAGTTTTTTTAAAAAAAATTATCATTTTTAAAACAGCTAAAATCAATTGAATATACTTATTTTATAATTCATTTCACTATTGTTGATGGTTCTAACATCTTCAACTTAAGCTTTGCATAAAAATGTTCTTCTCAAAGTTTAATGCTTCTAACATTACTAAAAAAAGAGGCAATTATAATATACATGTAAAAGCAAGATTAAACTTATACCTTTTACTAGAAGATAGTAATAGAGTTAAACTTAGTAATTTGTTAGATAATGGTATGCCTGGTGTAATTGAACTCAAATGAGATTTGTCTAATAAGGAACAAGTTATAAATCATGATCAATTTCTCCAGAAAAATGGTCTTGATATTAATACTGATGATGTACTGCAAATGGTCCATTCAACAAACAACTAAAACACAAGTTATTAAGCAATGCATAGGTGGAAGCTATCACAAAAAAGAAGTTGCTTCTAATTCTCGAGCCTCAGCAGCCTGTTATTCCTATGTAGGGTGTTTTGCATTTGCAGCGATATATATTTATGATAATGAAATTTGCGGCATTGCAGGATTTTTAGAGCATTTTGTGCAATGTATGTATTCTTAGCCACAGAATGACCCACCCTATAGACTTTTACCATATGTAAGACAAAATGTTGAGAGCTTGTTAAATCTCAATGTCAGGACTTCAGATATTCTTGCTCAAAATGCAAGAACAGTGAAAAATGTGTTTAGAAATAGTACATTGATTGGAGATTTCAGAATGTTACTTACCACGATGAACATTGCAAATATCAAAAAGCAGATATTACGAAAAACTTGGAATATCAATATTAAACACGATGCTGCAAAGAATTTAGATTAGTTTCTTGGACAAAATGCAGACCAGTCTGAGCTTAAAGAAGCGTGTTTGCATTATTAACCTCATACAAGAGAAACAGATCGTCTAGAAATCATTATCAGCACCCAAGAGCAACAGGACTATGCATGGCAATACGGACATAAAAATCTTATTCTTGTAGATGGAACCTTTGGAATCAGCAAACATAAATTACTTTTATTTACTATTATGGTAATTGATAAAAATAATAAAGGCATTCCTATTGCCTTTATTCTTTTTACACCCTAATATAATCGGTTAACATTATCTGGGTATGATAGTAATATTCTAGAACAACTTTTTATGATCTTTCATGATAATATTAGTAATAACTATAATCAAACACAAGTAAACTCAAATGTTATCCCAATTACATTTAGACCCCTTGTTGCAATGACTGATATCGATGTTAAGGAGAGAAAAGCATTATTAAAAGTATAACTGAGAATTATTTTATTGCTTTGCTATTTTCATATTAGCCAATGCTGGAAGAATGAGATTAATAAGCAATTAGGTCGAGGTGGTAAGAGTGATGCAATTTTACAATGACAAACCCTAAAGGAATATTTAAAAAGTATTTTAAAAGAAGCTTGGTTGATGGTAGGTAGTGAAGAGATGGTGCGAAATTATATTATAGAAAAAAAAATTTATTAGAGAGCCTTATTAATAAAACAAAAAATATTTCAGAAAATAAAAAGAATATATTAAATGGTGTAATAAAATTTTTTAATTATTTAAATAAACAATGGGCAGGAGGCCTTTTGTATAGTTGGTGTTTTGATGGACGAATGAGAGCTGCAAAAGTTCTTGGAATCCCTTTTGAAAAACTCCCTACCACAAATAATCATCTTGAGGGAATAAATGAATACTTAAAGAACAATCAATTAAGCTGATTTCAAGAAATAGTCATTGTCTTAGAGCTGATGTGCTTTATATTATATTGGTATATGAAGTTATACCTAATATACTAACATTACGATACCTTGCTATAGATCTTGAACAAAAGAAAGCTGAATGATGAAAAGAGCTTAATATTATTAACCCATTTGACCGTAAAATTCTTAAGCAAGAATTTTTACAAGTAACCTATTTATCACCAAGCATAAAATGTGATGAATCAACCAAGAAATTACTTGATATGAATAAGGTAATAAAATATGAAATAGAAGATTCAACAGGAAATATTTATGTAGAAGTTGAATCCGAAACCACACCAGAATTGATTTACACAACTTGTGTGTATGGACAACCAACCAACATTTGTTGCCAATGTCTCGATTTTTTTCAAAAGGGAATTATATGTAAGCACCTTCGTGCAGCAGCTCTGTATATTGATGAACTTTGTAAGCAAGAGCAATATTCACATTTACCTGAAATAACCTTTCTAACCTATAAAGAAACTCAAAGTATTAATCATAATCTATATGCTAATGAATCAAAAACATCAGAAAATTTTTTAAATGATAATGATATTAGTGATGATGATTATAGTGATGATGGAAATGATAAAAACATTAACAATGAAAGCAATAATTATGATGATAATGATGACAGTTCCACATCTACCTTATCCTTAAAAACTCTTAATTATGTAAAACACATTTTTGAAATCAATACTTTAACAGTAATGCCATCATCTACTTCATTTGCACAAAACCAACCAAGTTCTAAAGTAATTGATATTAACAGGCTAAATGTTACTGTTATTCATAGACAAAAATTCAAAGAATTCTTAGAATCTACTTCAAGAAGTCTCCAAACATTGTGAGAAAATTCGTTACTTCTTAAGAACCTAATAAAATCTGAACAATTGACACAAGAACTATGTAATACTGATCAATATGCCTTACAGACTCACCTCCATAACATTATTGCCTCAAATTCCTTTAAAGAAGCACAGATTTTAGTAGATGTTATGCATGAAGATATGAATCCTCGTAGGAGTATAATTTCTGACACAGATATTCTTTCACTAGCATATGAAGCTAAACAACAACGGAAACCATCTTACAAAAGCTTCTAAATCAGTCATTCATACTACTTAATTGCTGCACGATA